TTGAGTGTTGTGAACTCCACCCCCAAGATTCCCCCAGCCAGCAAGTTGAAGTCCACACATCTTAAAATTGCCAAGGTTGAAGAACACTGGAATAAAGCAACTCACACTGATACATTTTCAATATGAATAGTAAATCTTTAACTAGATTCACAGATTGGTGGTAGAAATTTAAAAGCTCTCAGTGGTGACGCTGAATGCTGAATTCATCCCTGAAAATGTAAAATGGTAGTAAAATATGCATTGATTTATTATGCTATATGTTTCTGCTACTTATTTTAAAGGCACCTTGAAAGGGGAAGTGTTCTTACAAAGGGAAGGAGCTTTTGACACTTATTTACTCCTATGAAGAATATCAAACAGTCTTCACTAAAAATTAATTTTATTCAGAGAGTGAAAATCATATTATATAATCAGATTAGAAAAGGGAAATGCAATAATTTAAAACCACAAAATGGAAAAGAACTACTTTTTTTTTCTGAGATGTTACCACAACGTATTCCTTTTATTTATCAGTGTTATCAGAGGAAGAGTATTACAATGTAATATTGTAAGTCATTTTTACTTGACAGCAGAGTAAAGGACAGAATTTGCATACAAACACAGGCTGAAAAACAATTTATACATATCCTTTCCATAAAAACAAAAGATCCATCCTATCCATTATTGGGATTTTTTTTCTGCTAAAGTACTTTTAAAGGAGGCTCTAGGTTGGGTTTTCCCCCCCTTTGGCTTGATACTATCTGATAAATGAAAATACTCACAAATATCAGAACTCTGAACTGTTTCCAAAGCTAAATACTAAAAAAGAAAGGAAAAGAAAAAAAGGAAATTGGTTTGAGGTAGAAAGGTGGTCATGGCTCTCCTTTTCTCCAAAACTTCTTTTCCTTCTCAAAATATCTATACCAAAATATATTTCTTTCTAGATGAAAAATCCACATATTAACCTGCAATCTGTTTCCTATTCTGGGCAACCCCCCTCCCCACTGCTGAAAAAAATAATACTTTTCTTTTAGATAGCACTTTGAATCATTTGATTATACAACATATATTACCTAATTTGACCCTCATAATACCTCTAAGCATAGTTACTACTATTACCACCTCCATACTGGAGATGAGCAATGAGAAAACCCCACTCTCAGCATCACCCCGAGATTCGAGCGCCTGCTGCAATGTCATGTTGGATACCGCAAACTCTGCTAGGACTCACCTGGTAAGGGATAACCCAGCATAAAATATTGGACAGACCCATTAATTACACTCAACAGTGGAATTTCTCCAACACCATTTCGGTCCTTTAAATATGATTATTGCACACATGCAACGTATGGAAAGAACAAGTATTGTATAATGAGAGCAAATGGCCATGCAAAACCACACGCCTAACGGGGAAGGAACAAAGCCCAGCTACTCATTATAAAAAGTGACTGAACTTCTCCCCAGCTGGCGCTACCTTGAAACGCTGACTGTAAGGGAATCATTTTAAAAATGTACACAGTGCTATTGATTAAGAGTACCCAGCCAATCTGTCTGGCATAAAGGCAGAGCAACTGAAGTGGTCCGAGCTCTTTTGTTTATTTAGGTTTCCAAATTACAATAATTTCAGGAGTAGATTTTATACTTTGAACGGGCTGATATACATAAAATTTGGCACAGTAAGATGATAAAGTCTTCTCCACAGAAAATAAAAACTGCATATATTCAGACTGATTGTATAAAGGCAAAATGCAGCCTAACTCACAATGAACACCAGAACATAATCGGGGAGAAAAATCAGTCCACATTCCATGCGGGAAATAAATCCATTAAAAATGCTATTTTAGTGCCAATAGTTACTGTAGCTGAATGAAGTTAGCTGGGGCGAAATAGTCCCACATGCCTAATAGATAGCCAGAAATGGTATTTGTCAGACACTAACTGTGCAGCTTATAAGAAGTTGATCTTTTGCCCGTGTTTTCAGACTCTTAGGCTAAGTATAAATAACCTTTGCAGAAAAAACAGCGTGTCAGAAAAGAAGGTTCTTGAAAAGGTAAATGCAAAAAGCCCAAAGGAATGTATAAATGTAACTCTTTGCTCCAAACTCTAAAGGCAATTGACTTTAGCAATATCAAAAAAAGAATGGATATAAATCCCTACCATCCCCTTTCCTGATGCTGCATAATTATATAAATCAAATTACATATGCATAACCATTTCCAAATACTCCACGGTTTGTTAATTTACAGTTGCATAGAGAGGGAAGAAGGGGAAAACACACACAATAATATAAAACACAACATCCTCATCTTTGGGTAGTTCAAGTGTTTCCTTATTTGAAATAAGAACACACAGAGCTGAACAGCAGGTTACAAGGTCCCATGCAGCCATGTGATTACTGGAACTTGCGATTGGCACTGGTTGAGCTGATGTTGGGAAGAGAAGGTGATCTTCCAAAGAAGATGCTCACATCGCCTGAAGGGGAGAAACGGGAAGAGAAGAGCAACTGAGGACCATATTTTGCCAAGGCAGAAGCTTCTTTCAATGTCAACTAGTTGAGTCAAATTATTTAAGAGGCATCACATTTGCTAGGAAGAGAAAGATAGCAAAAGTGCCGTAGCACATTTTACAAGAATGTGCGCACAACTTTTGCCCTATGGAGGCAAAGCTTAATCATGGTTTTGGGGTTTAGTTATATATATATACACACATATATAGTACATATACATATACATACATACATACATACATACACACACAGTAAATATATATATATAAAAAAAAGTAGATAAAAGCTTCTGCCTGCTCACAGGTTATCACTGGATAGGAACCCCAGGCTCAGGGCAAAGCCTGTTAAATCCATTTCACCATGTGGGATTGTTTTCAGTGTTAGGCAACAAATCATAATGCCTGCTTTATTTATATCCCACCTTCCATTCAGGAGCTCAAGGCAGCATACATAACGCTTCTTCCTCCTATTTTTCCCTATAACAACAACCTTGTAAGATAGGTTGGGTTGACAGAGAGTATGAGTGGTTCAAAGTCCCCCAGGGAGCTTCTGTGGCTATAGATCAGCTAGAACCTGGGTTCCCTTGTCCATGTCCAGGACACCTTACCATTACACCACATTGGTGCTAACCAAGCATGATGTAGCAACCCCTCTGGGCTGAATCAAGATGAGCAAGCTTAAAGCATATGCAAAGCAGTGGATTAAAGAACTTAAAACAATAGATTTTTTTGCCTATAGATTAGGTCTGTGCACCCTTGGCATCTTGACAAAAGCATAGCACGCGATCCTTGTCCTGTGACAGAAGGGTACAGTACTGACACTTGGTACGTTATTGGTAATTTACCACTTTATTAATGATTTTATTATTGTAAACCTTGGTTTACAAGAAATACCTAAAACGAAGGCTACACACCAGAGACATTACAATCAGCTATTAGAGGTCCCTTGTCAAAAGTGTGTTGAATGTCTTTGTAAAAGCCGACAAGGCAGCCAGCCTTCCTGGTGCAAAAGGGCCTAAAGTGGTTAAAGTAAAGTGGTTCCCTGGCAGCTGGTCCTGGGCACATTCCTGTAGTTAAATGTGCATTAAAGTTCAAGTTTAGAAGAAAAAATTACCCTGACAGAGAATTTCTGAGATGGGTATAAAATCTCAACAGAGAGTTTTGGAGCTATTTACAACACATTTCCTTCAATAATACCACAAATGCAGGATTCTGTTGATAAAATATGAAAAAAGAGACAGTATTACTATCCTTGAGTAGTTAATTCAATGTTTTGTGTAGGGTGTGTATGTGTGTGTTCAACCTTTCTTTTTTCCCCATGGGGCTCTAAGAAAATCAAAGCAATGTTTCCTTTTCACATTATCTTTGAAATGCAGAATCAGATCTTTGCTCCATGAAAACCAAAATAGCATGAAAGTAGATCTGGTGTGGTTTTGGGCTGCCAGTAAAATAACGTGACTACAAAGGTAAGGTGAGGTCACTCATTCCCATGTGCTGCACTTTTTCAGCCCGGTACTCTTCAGATGCAGGAAATCTTATCTCATCTCATACTCCACAAGGGGCAGAGCCATTAGGGAGAAACAAATCTTAAATCTGTGCATTTGCTCTGATAAAAAGTTAAACAAAAATCGTAAAAATGTCCGTCCCATCAAAAACTATTGAAAAAACATTGAAATGTGTCATACCTGTGATTTGCCAGCAAGATTTGCTGTAAATAAGAAAACACAGTGATTAGTTGTCATAAAATGCAGTCTCAAAGATTAAGATATAGCTGTGCTGTATGCAGAAAACAATTTATATCTGACACGTTCCATACAATTTTTTGTAAATCTGTGTCAGAATTTCTTCCCATAAATCTTAAGTACTATATTAACCATTTTATTATAACATAATATATTTACGTACATCAAATCTGCTAGCATATAGCTTTCTACCACCCTGTATCAGTCATGTTTAATGAACTAAATGACCAATGAATTCAGAAAGATAGGCTTAATTTACTGCTATAACAACACATGGTGATGGCACAGGAAATATATGGATTATCATTCAAATAAATGCCACATATTTGAATTTAAATCTAGAGACTGAAGAACAGATAATTAGGCAACCATAAAAGCAATGCCAACATGGGCATCAAAATGACAAAAGCAGCATCACACTGCAGGCTCTGCCACTTTCACATGGGTATACAATGTCACGAATTTTAAGAATTGTAAGAATATTTCTACAAATTCTGCAAATTAAAAAAGCAAGAAAACCCCCATTTTCTTATTCTATTTCCCTGATTATGCCTATTTTAAATGCATCATTCCTTAATGTATCTGTTTTTATATGTAGACCACAAAAACTTTTCAGCAACTGGCTCAATTCTGCACTGTGGACAGAGCTTAATTTCTTCTACAACATACGAAGCAACAAAGAAGTGCTCTGAATATATGCAGAATATATGCAGAATGAATCTCACTCACTAGTTAATATTCATCCATGTATTACACTATTTTACTATGTGTACAAAGTAAATGTGCTAGGGAGACATACTCATATTTTCACTAATGCCAATGATTTTTTTTTCGTCAGCTGCATGGGAGGCAGACAGAAGTACAATTTACATTCTGATCAGAGTGGATTACTGAATGAAGATGCCTTCACTCTCCATGCACTATGACTAAAAGAGCAAACCCTATCCTTTAAGGAAGATCAAAAGCACAGTAGAATTATTTATAAAGTGGAATCAGCAGTTTAGGCTTAATACCAATACTTGCAGGAGTTTGAAAGGACCAGGAGCTTCAAGAAAAAGGTTTGGAACTCTTCCAAACTGGGAGAAGGTTTCACATTCTCATATTTTTCCTTCAGAGAGCCCTTTCTCTTCCTGTCTTTGTGATTTGATTATTAAGCAATTACTATAGGGTCTTAGGGCTTTTTGAGTAAAAGTACCAGTAGCATAACTGGTTGGTGGGGCGGCTCTGTAACTTACTCATTTTAATGGATATACAGTCAGGTCCAGAAATATTGGGACATCAACACAATTCTACATCTTTGGCTCTATACACCACCACAATGGATTTGGAATGAAACAAACACAATGTGC